AAAAACAAACAATATTTTCATTATGGAAAATTTAGTCATCAGGTAACATTTTGAGATGTGCCTTTGTGACTTAGGAGCCTAAGTTCCATTTTCAGAAGTGAGGTAGGAATTTAGGAACCATTTTAAAATGTCATTTAAGAACTTCTGAAAATTTTAGTCCTTGTCTCCGTAATTACCTACACCTAATTTTCAAAAATCATGAATCATGTCCCCCAGTGTCAGGAGATTGGCTTAGAAAGCATGAGACTTTTTAAAAATAATAAACACTGGGTTCTTTTTATTTGCCTTCTGTTTTTTGAGTGTTTACTTTGCACTTGGGTCACATTTTCAAGATTTTTTCTGCAACCATTTGGGCTAGAAATGTACTCTTTTACAAATGAAAGCTGCGATTCTTGCGTAATTGCTTGGGTCCCTAAGCTGGGTCTTTAAGTTAAACATCAACTATTGTGAGACTTGTGATAAAAGTTAGACAAGTTAGCAATACTGCATCTAGAATGGGGATGAAAGTAAGGTTATATTAATGGCACTAGTTTTAGATCTCATTTATACTAGAGCTCAAACAGTTTTATTAAAGCAGTTCAAAGCACAGTTTGGTTGTATAAACCAGGACAAAACCATGTTTGAACCAAGTTTGCAAACTATGTTCTAGCCTAGGTTTAAGATAATTTAAAAGAAAAAAATTACTGCTTTGAAATGGACATTGGTATATTGTGGTTTTACACCATTGCCTGTCCACTTTATAATGTAAGTTGTTAAGCAGAGTCCACGTCTTCCTTTCTGGTAGCTCCAAGCATACCAAGAGCACTCAATACATGATATATAAAGTAACAACAACAAATAATAATTGGGACCTTAAAGAAACAATACCAAGCTTGGTAACTGATCTGCTTAGTCGCTTATTGATCATACACTGAAAGGCCCTTTGTAGTACATATGTGAAGGACTGCTGTGCGAACCTTTATTCTGAATGTCCTGACTTTTCTAACTTATTTCAGGTTTATGATACATATATATTTGGAGAAAGCCTTCTCTGTAGAAAGTTTTAATACAGGAATAGTTTCTGTCTTGAACTCTTTGTGCTCTGTAGTAGATAAAGCTTTTGATACAGAATAGCAGTTCAAGGTGTCTACGAGCTCTGCTGGTGGGGTCATCAGAGGTCTCATTCCTGCAATGAGCGCCATGTGGGGCCACCCTTCTGTCTGAGCAGGGCTTATTGAAGGAGCAGGGCCAGAGTTTGTAAGCTCCACAATCTCACTAGCTCTTTAAACTCTGCAAGTCCAATCACTCCAGAGTAAGGACGTACAAGCTGTGCAAGCTCTATAGGTTTGGGTTGTTTCTAAATGAAAAACATGAAACACTATTACTGTAGTATGCTGTTAAGCTTACTGTTTAAAATCAATATTCAGAAAAAACATAAACACATAGAATCATAGAAATGTAGAGCTAGAAAGGACCTTGAGAGGTCATCTAGTCTAGTCCCCTATTCTGAGGCAGGACCAAGTATATCTAGATCATCCCAGAAAAGTGTTTGTCTAATATGTTCTTAAAAGCCTCCAATGATGGGGATTCAACAGCCTCTCTAGGTAACCTGTGTGACACTGCACCCCATATTCTTCATGGTGATATTATTATGATATGATTATGGCATAACTATGAGGCATTTTGTACAAGATGGGTCATGTAAGGTGTCATTGGAAAAGTTATGATTTGCTGGATATGATTACCCTATTTGTATGCATGTATCATTTTTGTATCTGAAGTTGTGAATATTGACTATGTATCTGTACTTCACATGTAGCCACACCCGGGTGACACATTTGGCAAGATGCTTCCAGTCTACATAACTAGTTGTGAAGGGCCTAGTCAGGGTAATGGGCCATTAGGAAAAACAATAGACCTTAGGAAAAGCTTATCCCCCATCTGGGAGCCTTCCTGAGAACACTCCAGATGGCCTCCAAGTAATGGCTGCTATGACTCTGTAAGGGCATGTGACCAGATCACATGACTCTGGACTCCATGTTGGGTACCTGTATTTTTCCACAAACTGGGCTGGGAACTGTTTTTGGCACAAAGGGTTCCTGCCATATGCTAAGGCATATGCCTTATATACTGCCTTATATAAGGCAGGGATTGACCTTATCTGTTGTTCTTCATTCCCCCACAACTCAACACCTGAGAGAAGCTCCGAAAGAAAAGGACTGGGAACAGGGGTGGGGATCCCAAGCTGCAAAGCAAGTGCAGCTGGTCCCTTAAGAATCTGAAAGCCTGCTTGTGTCATCAGCCAGGGTAAGAATTTGCTAACTCATATCATATCTTTCAAGTATCTTAGGCTTAGTTTGTGGTTGTTTATTTTTTACGTAATCTGCTTTGATCTGCTTGCTATCACTTAAAGTCTATCTTTTTGTAGTTAATAAACTTGTTTTACATTTTAACGTAAACCGGTGTGCCTTTAAGTAAAGTGTCAAGGGAAAAATCTCAGCTTGGGTACCACAAGTGTACATATTCCTCTCCACATTGAGGGAGAGGCGAACCAAGTAATAAATTCATACTGGTGGGGGTTTTGAGCAGGGCAGGACAGTATAGCTCTGGGGTCCTCGGCTGGGAAGCTGCGGGTAATCTTGGCTGTAGCCTTTCTATTGTTGGTTCGTGCAGTGGCTGGTCAAAGCCTGCATGTAACTGCAGCTGGGTGTCCCCCTGCCTCTGTAAATGCTGGTAGAAGTGTAAGACCAGGAACAGTCTAGAGCTTGTCATAGCAGCACAGTGTGAAAGGGAGCCCAGGCTGGTCAGTCAGAGGGCTCAGTGATACCCCAGTTCCAGGTGGCACCCCGGGGAACCCACCACAACCTGTTCCAGTGCTTCAAACATGTTTCAATCTTATTGACGTCGAAGTCCCACTGAAGTCAAAGGGACTGAAGCACTTGCTGAAAATCGAGCATATGCTTAATCTCAAGGGGTGAAATTCTCCCTTCTACAGAGGGTCAATCCATGGACTATGCAGTATTTAAATTCTTCTTGAGCCTTCTTTTGAGGGCTAAAGTGTGAGTCAAATGATTCATAGTCCTTATGTTGGCCTACAGCACATGGGTGAATTTATCCACAGTGCACAACAAAGATGAGTAAAAAACAAAATCTGAGAAGCATATATCACCTATGCCTTTTGAGGCAGGGATTATGTCTCCCTATGTGTTTGCACAGCACTAGTACAAAGGGCCCTGATTATGACTTGGGGGTCTCTTGGTGTTACAGTAATAGAAATATTAAATAATGCACAAAAATCCTCCACCCAGGAAGCAATAAGTATGGAATTCTTACTCACAAGTAGGCAATAAAAGTTTTTATATTATAATTGTCTCAAATTCCAACTCCTAAAAATCCCTTTTATATTTAATACAAGATAATTTCCTTATTGTGTATCATGATATTTAGGTAACCTGAGAAAGCTAGAAAGGGATTCCTGCTGATTTCTCTGCTCCAGGCTACTCATAAAGAGAATGATGTATAACATGAAAAACTTTATTTTAGAATCACTGCAGACTTTCATTTTACAAAGTTAAGAACAAGATTAGGGGAAATTCCTCCTCAAAATTTAGAATCCCTCTTTTTGGCCACCTTTCCTGTAGCTGTTTTCTCCCTAACTACAACTCCATATGCACAAATATGTGTCCATAACTGAAGTCCTCTTTTCCATGACCCTTTCTCAATTTGTTGACACCAATAAACCACACAAACCCTTTGACAACACAACCTCTGAGAGGAATAGATGTACAGTTAGCATATCCAAGGGCACATTTTCAAAGGTGGGCACACTGGATGTACTTGCAGAAAGATTGGTGCACCCATATAAAACACTTCACTGGTGCATGCACTTTGGATAGCTGTGCATACAAATGCGCAGTTAGGGAAGTAATTTCTGGATTTGCACATGCAAAAAGGAAACAATTTTTCAGGCACACCCACTGACCCCATACTGGAAAATTTTACCCAAAGAATCAAATAACGAGGAAGATTTAAAAAACAAAACAAACAAACAAACAAAAACCTCACCTTACAATTTATACCATCTGAAAAAGAACTGGGTTGATCAGAATAATAGGTACATGACTTAAGTAGGTAACCTAGGGACCTGCTCCACAATTTTTGATTGTATGCAAATTCTGCCATGGCATAATGCTGTCATTAATCAGAAGTTATACATGGCTACCTACCCTGTATCAGTGTTCCTTCACCTTTGGAGACCACCTATAGGAGAGAGAGGATAGTGCAGTCTCCATGACCAATCCTCAGCCTCTCTATTAAGACTGCCACCAAGGATGCCATTTGTCAAGTAGACCCATGAGTATTAGGTATTGGAGCAAGACCAACAAACTCGTTTCACATGGACTACTAAAATGCCAAGAGAAGCAATGGCATTTGATCACTAATGACTGGAGCTGAATTCAAGGCAGTAATTTAAAAATGAAAGACTCCTTCCCCGTTTACCAGTCTCCTGAGTCATCCAGTTCCATTCTCGCAGTACAGAAACCAGCGCGATTCTCCTCTCACACCAGTGACACCCAGGACAAGTTCCACTGGAGTTACACCAATGTAAAACCGGAGTAGGTGAGAGAAGAACTAGGTCCTTCATGTTTTAGGCAGTGTACATGACAGGAATACTTTTCACCCATTCCTTCCCCTGCAGCCAAACTAGAGTGACCCAGTTTTCCCAGATACTTCCAAAGCCAAAACATTTCTGTTTAAACATTATGATTTCCTTACACTTCAATCAATCATAAAAAATTACAAGTAAAAATAAACAAGATAAACATGGCCCTGGATTGTCTCCAGAGGCCTGTGGGACCATTGCAGGCGGAGGATAATATAATTAAATATGGGCAGCCTGTTGACTGCTCTCACACTCGGACGGATGAAAGCTAAAGAAATTTGTCCTGTTGCAAACATTTGTTTCACAGTCATACAACTGAATTTAGCATGGAAAGCTTCCTTAGGCATTAACAATGGCTTACCTCACTAAGGAGGGAATAATATAGCCTTTTCAATTTTGTGGGCAAAAATTCCCTCTCAGATCCATACTCGTCTTCTGTGCAGAGAAGGCATTCAGGTCTGCAGGGACACACAGGCTGCAAATAAATGAGCAAGGGAACAAAGTTAAAACAGTTCCTCCTGTGGAAAACATAGGAAAGAATATATAAAATGCACTGATGTACTTTACCAAAAGGAGAGTGGGGAGGGATTACACTGAGTATGCTGGAGTTTGCCCCATTTCTGAGGCTGCTAAGTCACTTATACTAGAGATGATTTATTTGAGGTAGGATGAGACCCATTCCTAATTGGGCGGGATAGTCCCAAAATATACGTATCAAGTCCCGGTCCTGAGCTGCGGGGGGTGGCGTTTGGGGTGGGGGGCAGCTTACGGAGCCCCCTGGCTGCCCCTACACATAGGAGCCGGAGCAGGGCCATGCCGCTGCTTCTGGGAGCCGCATGGAGTGGCCCCCGACCCTACTCCCCAGCTGGAGAGCCGGAGTGGGACAAGCCCCAAACCCCGCTCCCCAGCAGGAGTTCGAGGGCTGGCTTAAAATGGCTGGCGGGACCGATCCAGCCCACGGGCTGTAGTTTGTCCACTCCTGCCTTAATGCATGCCATTTTGCCTGGGTACTGCAAGACAATATGCTTGTCACTGAACAATGTGCAGAATATGCACACACACAGGGTAAGCCTGGGAAGGAGATTTAGCCTAAACTCAGAATTTTCTAGTGGTTGTGGGTTTTAGGATTATTTCCATGAAGTCTGTAGCACCCTATATTTTCACTAGTGCTCTAGATGGCAAGTTAACTGTTTGCTGCCATTTTCAGGTATTGGCTAGCTTTTTATTTTTCGCACACTGGGATGTTCCAAGCATGTGTGAACACTGTGTTTCATCATGAGACTAATTTAGAATTGCACCTGGGAGAGGACATACCCCGCAGCCCATTGTTTATGAGAATATCCTACCAGAGATCCACATCTGTGCTGGGTGTAGCATACGGCATCAAGTTCTCAGAAAACACATGTCCTTAGCAATATTGCCAACAACATGTCTTTGAAATGGCCTGTCAAATATTTTCAAAGCTAGTTCTTTTGCCAGTATTACTGAGGCAGTCTCTCCTTTGGTGTATATTTGTATATAAAAAGATACCAAGAATAGATAAATGTCAGCACCTGGTTTAATCCTGACTCATTCCCACGTGACTCATTTGGGTGGAGGATGGCAAACAAACTGGCAATATGATTTGCGTTGCTAGATGAGAGCTCAAATAGCAGCCTTTCTGCTTTTATGGATCATAGAAGAGTCACGTACAGTTTTTACCTTTGCAAATCTGCAACAGGCAGAGAGCTGATTTTGTTTATTTTGCTGGTCACAGGCAGAAACGCAGCTTCTCAAATCCCCTAACAGGCCTTTGGGCCTGCCTCAGATAGGGGAGTAATGACATCATCCAACAGAGCCAACAGGCAATCCTCCATTGTGTGTCACAATGCAAACAGCACATCAGAGAGTGCTTTCTAGCATTTGGAGAAGGTTGTGACTGACTTTAAGAGGGACCTTGGACAAATCACTTTAATCTCAATCTAACTCAGTTTACCTATCTCTATACAAAACAATTTCCATTCTCACAGGGTTTGTGAGCAGGTTTGTGGCAGTGAAATCTGACTTAAACAGTCTGATAAGGTATAGGCGGAAGGTATAAGAGGCCACGAGAGGTTAAGCCTCCCCCAACTGCCAGCCCGCTGCCTTTGGAGTGCACCGTTGCTGAAAGAGTGGGTGCCCTGGCCGTGACCCCACCTGCACTCCGCCCCAAGGTCCCGCTCATCCTCTTCCCCCAAGGTTCCACCTCTTCCCATCCCCGCTCTGCCCACATGGGGGCGTCGCAGGAGAGGGTGAAGAGGTGCGTGCAAGGGGTGAGTGGCCAGCTAGCTGGTTGGTTGGCCAGCGGGTGGGGCCAAGGAAGCAGGCAAAGAGGCACAAGAGCAGGCGGGGATGGGGCCTCAGAGAAGGAGCTGAATGGGGCCAGGGTTGGAGCCTGGGTGGATCTTTGGGGGGAGGAGCTGAGAAGGGGAAGGCCTCAGGGCAGGCCCATGGTCTGGGTGCACCCAACCTCCCCAAATGGATGAGTTGCCCATGTGATAAGGGTTCCCCTAGTGCAAAGAAAGTTTCACTCCAGCAGTTCCACAGGGCTCAGCTTTTGTTCCCCTTCTCTTCTCCCTCTAACATTTATCTCTGGGTAATCTCATTCACAAACAGAAATTCAACTACCATCTTCATGAGGATGATTCACAAATACTCCTCTACACGTCAAACCTGTCTTCTTCTGTCCAAACTAATATATCAGCCTCTCTCTCAGATATCTCCTCATGGATGCCTAGCTGTCAGCTCAAACTCAACATGGCTAAAACAGAGCTACTAATATTCTCCTCACCTCATATCCTCATCGTTACCACCTTTCTCAAGTGCTGTGGGGCAACACCACTATATTGCCAGTCAGTCACTCATGCCCATAACCTAGGCATCATCTTCGACTCAGACTCTTTCAAGGTCCTCACATCTGGGCTCTGTCTAAGTCTTGCATATTCTTTCTGCATAACATCTCTAAGATATGGCCTTTCTTACCCAAGCACAATGCTAAAACTCTCATCCAAGCTCTTATCTTGTGTTTTGATTACTGCAACAACCTTCTCTCTGGCTTTAGTACATGCAGTCTTTCATCCAACATAAACCACTTGTCTTCACTTTCAAGGCCTTTCGTGGCCCTTCCACCTTACCTATCATCTTTCATTCACTGTAGAAATGTCAGTTCCGTCTCCAGTCAGCCCATGATGGAAGCCTCCATCGTCCACTTGTTAAATTTCCAAACAAGCACATTCTTTCCCATGCTGCCTCACACACTCCCCATAAACATCTGAAAAACAAACTCACTATCCTCCTTCAAAATCCTTCTCAAAACTCTACTTTTCCATGATGCCTACAAAAAACATGACAACGTTTAGTCTGCTGATATGCTGAGACCACTGCCTAACATGCTGACCAATACAGTTTCATTGTTGCCTTGTACTCCCTGGTTAGTTGGTCTGTATCCATCTGTTGCATCTTGTCTTACACTGAGATTGTTAGCTTTTTAGGACAGGAACCATCTTTTTGTTCTGTGTTTATACAACATCTAGCACAATGAGGTCCTTGTCCATGACTAGGGCCATGGCAATACAAATAATAAAATAAGAATAATAATTGGCCTATATCAGCATAACTAGCTCTATGCCACTCACCTAGGCAGTTTCTAGCTTGAGGCATGTTGCGGGCAAAGTCAAAATACTGCTTCATTCCAGCTAGCCCTGGCTGTTACAATGGCCCCTGGGGGACTGGTGCAGTTGGGCATTAGTTAGAAAAGCCACTACCGAGCCCCAAGGTCAGGAACGGGAGAAATAAAGGTGGCATACAGCCCACTTTTGCCCCCTGCATTACCCCCACACAATCAGGTCCTGCACTAAGTGCAGCTCAGCTAGCCCGAGGATTGATCCTTGTTAGGTGTTTATTCCCCTCTACTTGGAGTAGAAACTAAATGTGGCAGTTCAGATACCTCTGGGTGCTAACCTTTGGTTAATGTTTATTTCTAAATGGCCACCCCTTCACACTGGGGCATCTGCTTTCATCCAGAACAAACAGGCACACAGATAGGCAAAAGTGAAGAAAAAAATTAACTGGTATTTCCAGTAACAGTGTGAACTGTTTTTCTTACCCACGATCCATAAACCTGGAAATCCTGGATGCCCCATCATCTCAGGCATTGGCACCCTAACAGCAGGATTGTCTGGCTATGTGGACTCTCTCCTCAGGCCCTACGCTACCAGCAGTTCCAGGTATCTACAAGACACCACTGACTTCCTGAGGAAACTACAATCCATCGGTGATCTTCCAGAAAACACCATCCTGGCCACTATGGATGCAGAAGCCCTCTACATCAGTGATTCTTAAAGCCGGTCCGCCGCTTGTTCAGAGAAAGCCCCTGGCACGCTGGACCGGTTTGTTTACCTGCCGCGTCCGCAGGTTCAGCCGATCATGACATTGACCAAACCAGACAGTCTCTACGCAAAAGAATAAATGGACACAAATCTGACATCAGGAATCATAACATTCAAAAACTGGTAGGAGAACACTTCAACCTCTCTGGCCACTCAGTAAAAGACTTAAGGGTGGCAATTCTGCAACAGAAAAGCTTCAAAAACAGACTCCAGCGAGAAACTGCTGATCTTGAATTAATATACAAACTAGATACCATTAACTTGGGTTTGAATAGAGACTTGGAGTGGCTGGGTGATTACACATATTGAATCTATTTCCCTAAGTTAAATATCCTCACACCTTCTTGTCAACTGTCTAAATGGGCCATCTTGATTATCACTACAAAAGTTTTTTTCTCCTGCTGATAACAGCTCATCTTAATTAATTATCCTCTTACAGTTTGTATGGCAACTTCCACCTTCTCTGTATGTGTGTGTGTGTATTTATATATATTCTTACTATATGTTCCATTCTATGCATCCGATGAAGTGGGTTATAGCCCATGAAAGCTTATGCTCTAATAAATTTGTTAGTCTCTAAGATGCCACAAGTACTCCTGTTCTTTTTGTTTTTCTTCTGAACTCAGACAAGTACAACTCTTTGTGAAATCAGACGATGTGCCAAGGAACCCATTCAGCCATAACCCAGGAAACAAAAAAAAGTCATACTTACTGTCTTGACAAAATGATGTAGTGCTGTGCACCCTCAGTTTAAATTAATTATTATTCAACACTTACGCTGTGGTAGCACCAACAGGCCTCAGCCAGGGAAGGGTCCCATTGTGCTAGGTGCTGTACAAACACACAGTAAATGATAGTCCCAGTCTCCAAAGAGTTTACAGTCTACAGCACAAGATGTGACAGGAAAGGGAAAAACAGAGAGGCAGGGTGGGGAGGGGAAATGGGCTATCGCTAATAATAGATGTTTCAGGATAGACTAGCTGCTTGTGTAGTTTGTGATGTCAGGAGTGAGATGTTTGAGCTGAGTCTGAGAACTAGCCAGCCTGGGCTCCAGGCTAGTTAATGAGCT